TCGACAACACCTGATTTTGTTAGGCCAGGATATGAATATATACATATCTTTTATGATTTAAAAGATCTATCAACATCCGCCTTCGATTTTGTTTAGAGAGTTGTAACATATTGCGTGACCAAAAACCTGTCCAAATTGATGTAAAGTCATGACATAAGATAGATAGCGACGCCATTTCCTCCATGTTTCTGGGAATATTAATCGCCGTAACGCGAACTATAGCAGTTTTCCATGTGTTATTTCTCAATAGACAAACGTACAGTTGTCACGTGTCTTTACCCAGTGATAGTCCATCAAGTTCTTAATGAATCAATTACTGTCATTGTTTTTACATAAACATGTCTCGCCTGTTGACAACATTAAGTCTCTGCAGAAAATTAGTCTAACTGGAAATCAATGTATAATTGGCATTGATTTTACGTAGCTACACACAGAGGGAGATTGATTAATTTTATATGTGGTTAATAATATCCTTTAGCTAAAGGCCAAATGATCCAGGCCTTGAAATTAACTGTCAATTTTGTTTTCTCATTGTGATATGCGGTTAATTACAGCTATGATGTAACCTTTGACATCAAAAAGGTTCATCGATAATGCAAAGCCATGATGATATGCATATTCTCTCATCAAACTTTCACTAGATTGTCAATTTTCCCGAACCTGTCAAAATATCAAAATGCATTTAAGTTTAAAGACAATTACAGGTCACTTCAAGTATGTCAACTTTCATCCGGTCATCATTTCGTAGACTTATAAATTCGTTGTTTTTAGCACCCACCAATTAAACGAAAATGAATCCCCCACAGATATCAGTGAGTGTAAAGTATGTTGTTGGATATATTATCAAACAATACATTAAATCTGCTTTCCGTATCAGTTACTGAAAGTACTACCAACTGGTTATTCATTTTTCTGTTTCATATCAACAATATATGCCTACAAGTTATGAAAATCACAATCAAAGTTCAAAACTGACGAAATGGGGACAAAAAGTAACGAAAATCACTTACATTGAGACCATTGAAAATACTAAGATAATAAGATCACGTGTTGTTCAAGGGGTGTGAGCGGCCTCTGTTTCATAAGTGACGTTCCAGCTTTGCAACACCACGTGGCATAGAACGTGGGTTTGCCGTAGTCATTGAAAAGAAGAATTTAAAGTTGTCAATATCGTATCATACAGTTGGCGTTGGGGGCTGAATTGAATCTAATATCAACTTTAATATAAACTGAGGTCACTGTAACTGTAAGTTGCTGATATAAAGATGTTGTGACCACTTGTACTCTCCAGTCTGGCAAGACAGGCGTTATAAGCAAAATGTATTATCATATTTCGACAATAGTATACTATGAATTAAGGTGTTCAAGAGCGCTCTTAATTTTAGAACTAAATTCTTGGAGACGACAGAGCAGTTCATTGTATTCCAGGCATGGAATAACCATATACCAATAATGCTTGAACTCCTCTCAAACGTGCGTAATGATATATGGTAACAGCATAAAACACATCAAATCAAAATCTAGTTAACGATATCTTAATTTATGAAACCGATTTGTGTAAAGGTTGTGTATTTCCCTTAATTCGGTTTTTCTTTCAATGTTTGTGATCTTGGCGATTTTATTGTATCTTCAAAAAAAAAATATATACATATTATTCAACGTTTGAATTTAGCAGGAAACCTGAACAAGATAGATTTATTTCAAAATTTGTTAATATTTCAAATTTAGTAATGTTAATGCTAATGTTTAAATGCATAAATGATATAAAAATATACTTTTAAAAGTTCTCAGTTTCGTACATTAAGTTCATCAGGATTGTCGTTACTAGTGACTCGGCAGAGCAATATCTGTGAAATGTATAATTTGTTGACCAAACAGTACAAAATGGCACAAATCACATGATTTACCATCGCGATATAAAGCAAAATTAAAACATGAATAATGGAGAGATAAATACGAAAATCATTGAAAAGGTACATGGAGAATAAGACTAGATGTTCCTGAAGGGTAAGTGTCGTTGTTATCAATCATACCACCCATGTTGATCTAAGTCAGTGCTAATAATGCCACGTATTCAAATATCATCATATCGCCATCAAGCACACACGCATGCATCTAACACTTTATATCACACAAGTATTTTACAAGCATACGGTGACAGTGTAACTTCTATATAGTCCTTGATAACATGCGCTTCTCGAAAAGCTGTCTGTAAGTATATATGGCATCGATACCTATCGCGTGTAAACTCTAACAAGCACATTTGGAATTCAAATGCTATAGGTTTGTTTAGAAACATGAAAGCTACTACTAAGACTTTGATTCAATTTAAGAAGTAATTGTATTTCTATAATTCAATTACTTGTCAAACTGGTCATTTTACAAAAACATAAAGGTCAGCACCAAATGGCTAAACAAATAGTTTCGTTATTGAAAACAAGTTAATCATCCCAAGTGCATGAGTAATCATGTTCATTCATGAGATTTTCGTTTGAACATTGCACTTTTTTAGGATAATAATAATCCATATGGTATTTGATGAAATAATGAAATAACACACTTTTGAGTATTTCGTAATAGAAAATACCTGCTAAAATTATTGTTTAGGTGTTGACGTAGCTCACTTTCAATGATTCAAGAAGAAATATCGGTTCTGTCGTATATCGAGAATAATGCCATCATTGGTCAAATACTTATCCTCATTCTGTTTCATTTATGTAAATATTTTCTGTCCTTTTTCATTATATTCACGAAAACTAAACGTTTCGACATGATCCTATGTAATGTAATGATAAGTAAATTGCTGCCACTCCTAGTATTCAATGTTTAGTTGACGGATGTCCTGTACGTGCTATAAGAGATAGTCGAATTTGGTGTGGGGACAACCACATTAAAGTGAAAAGGCGAATAATGACGCGCATATTAACTTTAAATCTAATGTTGGGTGAGAAAACATATTCCCAGAGACATCTACTGTAGCTTAATGATAGAGTGAACTATATACACAATCATGTGATTCATCGCCTACCTAACAAGTTAGAACTAATAGCACTTTAAATGAACTAAAACATTTTTGTAGACGAACGATAATACAGTCAGTATAACTGAGTCTAAAAGCGAGAAGAAAATGCTGATATTTTATCAATTCTTGACACGAAGACCTTTGGAAATTACAACGATAATGATGTGTTCCGGAAAGGTAAGTGTCTCTCACTGTCGACTTTAAACCGTCATCTGAATTCAATTCCTCCTCCTCAAATAAGAACTCGTTAAAACAATAAAATCACAAAGCAAATAAATAAACATCGAAGTAATAAATCTTAATATCGCCTATGGATATAGATTTCCAAATGAGAATTGTGGATAAGGGAAATCGGCTTATTTCCAATTATCTTTGAAAATGACGTGAAACAGATTTAGTTATAGATAAATGAATAAAAACCAACATAATTTGATGGAATATAGGAGTAGCGTTGGTAAATGGTATGACTCTTATTGATTTAAAGTTCAAAAGTTTACAGAATTCTGATGTTAGTGTACCAAAGGTCACCCTGATTCCTTTATCAAACTTCGTGAAAACCATAGAACATCAATAAGTTTTAACTTGAAGACTTTTAAAATCAATTAAAAACAAAGAAAAAAACTCTCAAAAGGATTTTTATTATTTCGTTTTTATTATTATGGTCAGAAAGACATTTATCTAAATCTATTTATTCTTAGAATAATTAGCTAATGATATACCTAAGAAAGACCATGAATTAATGACAATTTTCACCATTTTTTTTGGAGACAAAATAAAAAAGACATAAAAAAACACACATAAAGGAAAACAGGAAATAATAGCTAGACCAATCAATTAACAGTTTACAAAGTGTCATGGCGATGTTGTTGGAATTCCAGAGTGATGGGAAATGTTTGTCTATATATAAATCAAACGTAAACTGCATCAACAGTCAAACCATTCGACCGTGACTAGCGGACAGGTACGGGCATGGTGAGTTCGTTATACTTATATTACTATCAAACAATTGTATGAGAGAATTTATAAGCAATTTTTTAATATTCTATCAAAGAATTCATAGTAAGTCGCCATGTACATTTTATTGAAAAGTTTAACATAATCCAGTAATTAGACATATAACTTAACTTTGAAAATACAAAAAAGAAAATTAAATTGTTTTGTAATGAAATAGACGCTATTACGATCAATTCTATTTTTAGTTCTAAATGGAGTTTTTTTTAAACATTTCCATTAAGTATTTATTTTACTTACACGTTGACGCTGTCATCAATATCAAACCTTTTTTTACTGACACCAGGTAAGGCTATATATAATTCGTTTATTTTACGGCTGTGGACGATATGAAATAATCAACAAATGATTCACTTATTCTTTGTCTCCATAGAAATTTTGTAACATATTCAGTTTTCAGCATCCCTTGTAAAAGAAGCAACAGTCTCATGTTTTCCGACATATTTGAATTTCAAAATTGTGAAAATAGTGTATGTATTGACATAATGCCCTCTTTTTTAAAAACTTTATAATTTGTACAATGTTGAATTTGTTAAAACTGACATTTAATAATTCACAAATCCCAATAGATCTATTTCTCGAAACTTGATTTGTTTGAAGGAGACAGCACGATAACATTTTTTTTTTTTTTTAATTGCTTTAAATGAATTTTGTCATTTGATCAATGATTGTTGTTGTTGGGTTTGACTCAAACTCTAACAGAGACGAAAAACAACCAACGTTATAGGTGAAATTCCTACCGGATTCATACAATTTTCCGAAAAATAGCAATTTTGAGGTTGCCGCCTGTCAGTCTTCTGTAATTTTACAAAATGTACCTCATATATTAAATAAATTTGCTTAACATCTGGGATGTATGGAGGTCAAGTCGCTAAGGGTTATTCATTATAAGATTATTTGAAATTTTTATTCGTTAAATTTAATTTGCATTTATTGTATATTTTTGATTGTATCTATTATGTTTTAGATGCATATACACCACAACATGTGGCTGTTTGCTGCGGCAGTCGTGTGCGGTGTTGTTACATCTGTCTTTGGATTCATTGAACCAATTCCAATGCCGGAAACCCTTGACGAATGTTACAAATACCGTGTCCAGAATCTTAGTATAACAGAGGTGCCTTCACAGGACATAAACATGTTTTGTATAACACGATTCCTCTACTCGACCTCCCACCTCCGTCCACAACGTCCGATATCCAACGAGACTATCGCGTACGCTCAAGAACTATTTCGTCAACTTCTTACTAACTACAACCCCGAGAATGGACACAGAGTAAAAAGGCAACTCAGTGGTGTTCGCCAGGAGATTCGTACGCTTAGTAGACCTCAGTGGGACCTCTTCACAAACAGAATCAACATGCTTAAAAACCTACCGGTAAATTATAATCTTAAACTGTACAATATTATGAGCCTGACCTATGTATCGTTAATTCATTGACAGAATCAACAAGTATCAAAAAAGTACCGGTACCTTCCAACACTAAACTGTATTATATTATTAGAGAAACTTCGATCTCGTTAATCCATCAACAAAATCATCAGATTTACAAAATAACAAGTAATAAGTATCATATTATAAAACCAGCCGAAAATAAGACTGAAAACTGTGATATGTTATTAGATATGTCACATTTCAAGTTTTTAATGAAGAAGAGATTTTCTGGTAAAAATTGTGACCTTTTCATAACTTAAAAAACGTTTAGACTGGTGTATAGTCTGTAGATGTCATATGCATTGTATATGTCATCTGTATCGTTTACTTTGATTCTGCTTGTTTTAGAGAACATGAAATCTTTAAATGTACTTATTAAAACAAAACAATTAAGATTCTATGGCAAGGATGACAGTTTTTCCACGTTCAGAAAACAAAGTGCTTTCTATGTATCTAGGTGAAAGCATTTGTATTCCTTGAAGTCCTTGGTATTTGGTACTTATTTTGAAAACCAAGATCATTTTAATTGTCGGTAGGTGAAGACATATGTCACAATGAAAATGATGAAATTGATCACTAATATTCATGGCAGTTTTCATAAAAGCCTGGTAAATTTTACCGTCATTTATCGGTGTCACTGTTTCATGTATGCAATATTTGTTCACGCAGGTTGGTAACGGAATGAATCGTTATGATTCTATAGCTGATATTCATCGACTTGTCATTGCATCGGCACACAACGGACCAAACTTCTTAGGTTGGCATAGAATATACCTTTTGCTGTAAGTATTTTGTTAAAAATAACTCAAAATAAGCGGTAGTTAACAGTAAACGGCAAAACGGAGAGTTATCATGTTTTGTATCCTGATTGATCAAAAATACTTCAACCCTCCCCCCCCCCCAAAAAAAAAAAAAAATAGAAAAAGGTTGATAAGTTTGAGAATATGTTTCAATACATCAATAGATAGTACAGTACAATCGTCTGATATCTGTATCAATAATTACAGTTGTACATTCATTTTGTTCATTTTGCTTGGTTTCAGCACATTGTTGATACAATGGTATCGAGCGAGATTAAGTTATTTAATATATATATAATGATAAGTCCAAACATTTGTTGACATGATTTGTGTAATTTCATATGAAAAAATCAATATCTAAAAATGGTTTGTCTGCTTTGATCCCTTGAGATAATAATTTTGTTACAAACTGAAAAGAAAAATTAGTGGTATTCAGCTATGTTTCGCTATTGCAGACTCCAAATTGCTTTGGGAGGTGTTCCTATCCCCTACTGGGACAGCAGACTTGATTTCCGTATGGACGAACCAACCGATTCAGTGCTTTGGACATCGGAATTTTTCGGAAATGGATTTGGTGTTGTAACTGAAGGTCCATTTGGAAACTGGCAAACTCCAGGAGGGTCTGCTCTGATTCGAAACATAGGAAACGATGGTACCCTTATTAACGATGATGGATTCAACGCAGTTTTGACAAGAAATTTTCACCGCGAAATCGTTGAACCTAGCAACAATCCAATGTTTAGTTTAGAAGGTCATCACAATGGACCCCATGTTTGGGTAGACGGACAGCTATCTGCCCCTGCTACTGCTGCACAGGATCCTATTTTTTTCTTGCATCATTCTTTTATAGATTATTTCTGGAGTCTTTTTAGAAGAAGGCAGAGATCACTTGGTATAAATTCGGCATCTGATTATCCTCCTACGAATAATCCTTTGCAACAACCGTTTGCTAGAATGATACCGTTTAATTTACGGAACATCAACGGATACAATGATTATTTTGCTCGTCTAACTTTCTATGCGCCGTCGCCGACGTGTCCAGCTTGTGGTGGTAGCAGTTATCTGGAATGTGTTGGAGGGGCATGTAGATCTCGTGTAGGAGTGACACCCGGAGGAGGCGGCGGTATGGCAATGGCTGCTAGTTTTGCTGGAAGGGGTGCTATGGGTGGAATGGCTCCAGCAAGTGTTGGTGGTCCTGAAAGAGCAAGAGCAACTGTGATGGCAAGAGGGGCCCTCAATATTGGTGGAAGATTCCAATCGGCTTTTAGAGATCCCAGAACAAGACAAGATACCTTACCAAATGCTCCTGTAAGCCGCGGCAAAAGAAGTGCAGCAGTCACTAATACTACCGCAAGTAACTCTGATGCAAACAAGGATACATCACAAATTAATCGGCCTTATCAGAATACATTTGTACTAAATGGAGTAGCTAATACAAGTTTATGGGCCTTTGTCCCTGTTCGCATCATTTTCGAGAGACCCCCAGATGCTCAATTTGAATCTTACTTGATTCAAGACGGCAAAGTAGTTAAAACCTCTGACATGTTCTCAGCTGGAAACCATACCGGATACACTCTCCAGATACGAAAGAAGATGCCTGCTACTTACAAAAAATGTCACGTGTCGGGCTCCGGAGCTTCCAAAGTTTTCGTCCAGACCGATGGTATTGATTACTCCGGTAGATACAAGGACTATGCTGTGGTAGATGAAAGGCTGCCGATCTCATCTTCCTTGACATATGTCGGTGTCAAAAATCCCACTGATGGGGCAGCTAAGTTTTATATGACCGCATATGACTCGTGTGGACGTGTCTGCAGACCACAGTGTCTCATCAAGGGAAGCTATCGACCGTGTTCTGGTGCTTTTCGCATAACGTCATCCTTCCCGAAAATGTATGGCATTACATTTGAAGATGCAGTTAAAGGTATTTGGAAAAAAGGTGAAGGTCTAGGTACAGAATCAAATGGAGCTGGAATACCAGTTACTTTTCTTTGTGAAATCCAATATTCCTGGCCATGGTTGCAAGCAAATAAGCAATTTTAATAACAGCAATTTAGGTAATAGCAACCTGAAGCATTTAAAAATCGTGTAAATGTGTTGCTGTTCCCCCCTATATTTTCCTAAATAAAATGAATGAAGAATAATTGAAATTAAAAGTTGTTTTGTCATACAAGATGCGTTTTTATTAATTAAAACATGTGAAGCTGTAATTGGGTTTTTTTTTTTTTTTTTTCGAATTTCAATACAGTGAGGAGCAGGACATCTGTTCATTTAACAAACGATGATGTATGTGTGTTTACAAAAGCGTCCGAATTGTCGCCCATTCTTCTAAAGTTTCAGTGAGGTTAACACCGTAATCACGGTTTTAAAAATTGATAGTTGACCTTCTAAATGAGGTCTTTAATCTTTATGCTTTTGTTTCTACATACATTATTTTCAGCATATTTCCACTCAACGTCAATTTCAGAAAAGTTTAGGATTTCTTCGTTTATATGTCATACAAAGGGACACTATAACAGTGGGTTTCTGTAAACACCAAACAAACCTAACTGGAGATGTTCTGAAATAAATAACATTTGAAGCAAATGTGTTCTGGATGACTCCATAGTGTCTCGAGAGGTATATGAAAGAACAATAACACTTTCAAGCCATGTTTAATGTTGTGTATGGCCCTAACATCAGAAGGCAGCCGTTCAAGATGACATGTAACAGGTCTAGCCACGCACTGGACAATCTCGTATCTAGGTGAAGCCTTGTGCTTTTATCTCTTATTTTAAACTTAAACACTTTGTGTCGTTGTGTCACAGGTGATACATATAAATTGTACATAGCCTCCTAACGACAGAAAGTGATGTTCTTTTATGATGAAAGAGAATGGGGATATTTTTAAGACTGGAAAGTCGACATATATGTCATCAATTACTATATTAGCATCACATGTTTAGTCTAATTAGCAAAGCATGCCCCGTGGTGAAGATTGAGAGTGTAATTGATTATTTCGATAGACATTAGTTGGTATTTTACCTATTTATTATCTCCTGTTAAAAGGCGTGGATTCTTTACAGTCGCTGAGGCAGAAGTGAGCAATAGATTTTCTAGAAATATGTCCACAATATATATCATTTCTTACGTTAAAGTTTATCTGAAACTGATAATGGAACACCAAATTGAATAATTATTTATCAACTGCAACTCAAATATTTGGCGAACTTCAACCATATTTTTTTTATTTATATTTACTTCTAAATCTATGCTTTAGATATGTGTTGGTTTACAAATAGCAACATCTAGGATATTATGTCTATGAAGATAAAATCAGAAACAAGAAGATATCTAAATATGAATAAATAAAATACACGTACAAAAATGTATATGATTTTTCATTCGCGCTAATATGAGAATGTAAGCGACTTCTGCTTCATCGACGACAACCGCTATGAAAACATTGGTCAATTCAAGTAAGAAATGTCACATTCTCAAATTGGAACGAGGTATACAACAACGGCACTTCTATGACGGCCGTAAAACTTCCCCATCATTTTCATCAACCTGTATCTTTTCAAACCTTTTGTGACGAGTTTGTCTGCTAGTTGACTACTGCTTGTAAAACATTTTGATAATGGGAACAGGCCACTGAATATCAAATCACGACGAAATCACCATAGGTTAGGGATGTTGGTATCCAGAAATGGGAAATTGAAAGATTTACAATGAAACTCCTGAAAGAAAAGAAGACCAGGGCCTGTATTCATGAAATATGCTCAAGTATAGATTTTGTGTTCAAGCAAGCTTTTTTTATAATTCGCCTAAATCATATAAAATAAATACAAATGTCAAATATAAACACTGATTACCTTTGACTTGAAGTCTTTTCAATTTGTTTTAAATCTTTGGCAAAATCAGTCTTAATTATTAATTTCTAACTTAAGCAGGACATAAGGCTTGAGCACAAAATCCATGCTTGAGCATGAGAACGTTTTCAAGAATACGGGCCCAGGTATTCTGAAGGAAAAAGTCTTCTGCTTCATTGACGACAATCCATATCAACAGCAAACTACACGGTAATCAAAACGGATGCCTATGAAAATTGTTCTCAGTGTCATAATACATATCCATTACACTATTTATAGAAATTGAAGAATTTTGAAATTTCTGCCAATCTGGGGACAGCAAATGTTTGTAAACTTTGTAAAATCTGAAAGAGAATTATTATTATGTTCGCTATGTCATAATACAACAAAATACACAATTCAATCATTTAGGTTTGGTATCCTACCATTTAAAGAGTTCTAGGTATGTATCTAATCATCAGAAGAACATTGTACATAGCACTATGTTTCACACATTACCTTGGGTATAAGATGATTAACAAATTGTGTTTGTTATATCATCATGTGAACAGCTTGGCACTGAGACGGAGTCCTTCAACCCAATTAGAAATAAACCACCCAAAGTAGGGATAAAACACATATCTAACCATCATATACGATTTCCAATAAAAATGCCTCCTTAGCTATATCTCTGTATACTGAGTAGATATTTGACAAAATGAAATAAACTTTGAATGTTATGACATAAGGACTACTGTGGTAGTTACTTACCTTATTAAATCAGAATTGCTTTGCCACAATTACGTAAGGGCAAGAAAGAATACATCTGTCTATTCGAACATGACAATAATGACGTTTTCCACCAACTGATGATTCGAAAAGATTGATGAGCTGATTATATATGTACTTATGGTAATTAATGAACGTATAAAAAATATATAAATGCTAGAGTTAAGATACGTATCAATGCCTTAATATCGAAACCACTCGTTATCATGGTAGGTACTGTATCATTGGCTATAATGAAATATTTAATATTGATACAATCTAAAGAGTGAAATAATTACTTTTAAATTTTTTTATTTAATATACCTTTTAAGAAATCTTTAATTTATCAAAAAGGATATTTCTTAAGAAGCAAAAGTCGAATGATTTTAAAGGTATTTGACAATTTGAAAAAAGTAAAAACATGTATGCATTGTTACACGTTTAGACGACTATATAGTTATATGAAGATTTTTTTGTCTAGATTAAACGTTTGATAAGAATTTATTTTGTATTATTTTATTTAAAATCATAAAAATTGATAAAGGAAATGTGTCGTTCAAACATTGTCATTTTTTATTTCAAAATATCAACCAATGCATGACCTGGGTATATCATCAATTATACAGGCGGACACACGTCATGTAGCAAGATTTATGCAATCTTGTTTGCTTACGTGTTTCTTCGCCGCCATTGGAGTGACAGGATTTGTGGAGGAGATACAATTGCCAAGAGAACTATCGGAATGTTACAAGTTACGAACAAGGAATATTAGCATAACAGACTTCGTGTCTGAGGACATCAATATGTTCTGCATCAACCAATTCATCTACTCTACACCGCATCTTCGTCCTCAGCAAACGGTAGCCAACGAATCAATTCTCTACGTACAGGAACTTATGCGTCAGGTTCTTGGAGACGTCTACCAGTACAATAGCGTGGGTAGAAGACACAAGCGTCAGGTAGGAGTCATACCTGTAATAAATGGACAACAGGGAATAGTTCAACCGTTTGATCCTACCTCGATATTGCAGCAGATACCAAGATTAGGACAGGTACCTGCATTAGGACAGATACCCGGATTAGGACGCAGATCAGTAGTGCTCCCAGGTCCTACAGGCAGAAGATGGATACGGCGTGAAGTTAGGACGCTTAGTCGGAGAGAATGGGTCGATTTTGTCAACCGGATCAACCAACTGAAAAGAACTCCGGTAAATATTGATATTGTTAGCGGAATCTGTTGTAGATAGAAACAGCTTTTGACGGTGTAACATTTTATATTCTATGTGTTTAACATACATCGTATAAAGGACCCTTGCTTTATTATCATTTCATAGTAGATTTTATGAAACGATTTTTTACTTATGACGCATTTGAGTCTTGTTCAGCACTATGAAGTTCCGATTTCATAAAATCACATACGAAATGAAAGTTTATGATAGTTATTATCCCATATCTCAGCAAAGTTACAGTTAGTCATATTTTAAAGTTGAGAAAAACGCAAACAAGGCATTCAATTTTTAGGCCATTTTTATGTATGACAGTATGTCATTGCCCAAATAATGACATCACAATAGATCAAGACACTCCTGGGGGTTGTGTGCAGAGTTTTTCTTTTTTTTACTTTTATAAAAGAAAATTAAAATTCCAGCACCAATATAACGTTGTAACGGATATCAAGAATCATTATTTAAAGACAAAAAATAGGTTTAAACAATATGGTAGACATACACAGACGAACAATGTCATTTTAAAGTACAATTTTTTTCAACTCTGTATCTATTATTACAGGTGGGACAATCCAACCGTTATGACGCTCTGGCAGATATTCATAGAATGGCAGTAAGGTTTGCGCATAACGGCCCAAATTTTCTTGGATGGCACCGATTCTACCTTATGTTGTAAGTATATGTAATTTTAACCTCATAAATAAACGATGTTCAAAAGAAAAAAAAGTTATTCATTCTAAATTGAATGTTATCGTCACTTTTGTATGTTAAATGTCAGCAACGTTTTTTTCTCCTGTTCCTGGCTCATTTTATGTCGAATAAGATTTTGGTCACAAGTTCTTTCTGAAGAAAAACTTCCCCTACCCCAAAAACGGAAAAATATTCGAAGGATTCAAGTTATTGTTTTATTCGTGTAAATACTTCCCATCATTCGATAAATTCGATTTTAGATAACGACATTTGCTTTTTTCAGGTTGGAGCGTGCAATTGGTATGGCAATTCCGTATTGGGATTGTCGTATTGATTTTTACTTGCCCAATCCGGTCGAATCAATAATCTGGACAGACGCATTCTTCGGGTCCGGATTTGGTGAAGTGAGGTCAGGACCCTTTGCGAATTGGATAACACCAACTGGAACACCTCTGATTCGTAACATAGGAAGCGCAGGTTCACTGATAACAGACACAATGGTTTCGAATATTTTATCTCAAATCGATATCAATGCTGTTACAGAACCTAGCGACAGTCCCTTCACAATCGAGCGCGTTCATAACACAGCTCACGTGTGGTTCGACGGTCAAATGTCAGCCCCTTTAACAGCTTCTTACGATCCGGTTTTCTTTCTTCTTCACGCATTTATTGACTATATATGGAGTTCATTTCGAAATCGACAAAGAGCAGCTGGAATCAATCCAGCAATAACATATCCTAGATCACCAGATCCAAATCAGGCTCCAGGAGCGCGCATGTTTCCCTTTAACTACCGTTGTATTGATGGCTACTCCGAATTCATCGAGAGAAGTGTTGTATATGCTCAGCCGCCGAGTTGTCCTTACTGTGGTAGATATGCAGTATGTTGGCAGGGGAGGTGTGTATCAAGGGGAGGTGGGAGACCAAGAATGCCAGGAGGACGTGGGATGTTTGGGACAACTTTTGCTTCCCCTGCTTCTGGTGGGGACACCTCTTCGTTTGGTCCGAGATTCCAATCCGATTTCCATGACCCTCGAAACAGCCGAGTAAAACGTCATGCGAGACGAGATTCCAGTGAAAAGATACTTGATACTGACGCATCTCAGATCAATAGACCATATCAGAACACATTTGAATTAAACGGTAAAAGCAGCATTGATCTTTGGGTGTTTGTACCTGTTAAGATTATCTTCGAAAGACCTCCACAGTTACACTTTAAATCGTATCCAATTCAGAATGGCAGCGTTTTAAGAGCTCATGATATGTTCACACCAGTAACAGAAGCACGTATGGAGACAAATAACAAACAACAGGCAACTTACAGGGATTGTCATGTTTCCGGTTCCGGTGCTGCAAAGGTTTATGTCCAGACCGATGGTATTGACTATTCTGGCAGGTACAAAGATTATACCATAGTGGATGAACGGCAAATTGTTTCGTCTTCTATGACATATATAGGCGTGAAAAATCCGGGTAATGAAGGTGCCCAGTTTTATATGAGTGCGTATGACTCGTGCGGACGTGTCTGTCGTCCACATTGTCTAAATGATAAGGGTTATGAGTCATGCTCTGGTGCTTTCCGTGTGACTTCAGCATTCCCAAAGATGTATGGCATAACCTATGAAGATGCAATAAATAGAAACTGGAAAAAAGGTGGAAAGTTGTTACATGAAGTAAACACAGCAGAACTCCCTGTCGTGTTCCTTTGTGAAGTTGAAAAGGCATGGCCTTGGAATTGAGCTTACTGAAATAAGCTTGTGGTGTAGTGATTATTTCAAACACTGATTCCAACATTTTCGTATCAAATGAAAGCTCCTATTTCATGTGTGAAATAAAAAAATGTTCATGTGATTTAAATGGTGTACATTTGTTGTTTTCACTGGTTAAGATAAGATGGGGATATCTGATAAAAAAAATGAGAATTATTGTATTTAAATATTGGCTTTCTGGTGCAATGTCTTGATAAAATTCCCGTTTTCTGAATGGGTCATAAACACTTTATCTGTTAGCTTGATTTTTCTTGTTTGCAAAAAAAAAAAAATCAAAATATTTCCATACATAACGGTACAGAAAATAGAATATATGAAGGACAAGTCTATAGATATAATTAATCCATTACAGAGGGGGTGGTGTGTGTAGTTACCTTACAATTCATTTAATGTCACAATTTTCAGTTATTCAAAATAACTTCACATGTTATATGCGTATATTATGATCAGAGCCTCATAAAACATAAGTCTTAGATACTTTTACGACGATCCAACACCAATAGTAATGGAAATAGTCGTCAAAAATTTAAACTGATGAAAGTATTAAACTATTGGGTTTATGCATCACCACGTTTATTATCAACTGTTTTTATCTATAAGGACTTCTCTAAATCACTTCCTACATGTCAACACTGTAGATATCTAGCATTATTGACGAGACCTAGCAGTACGAAACAGATGTATGATATAGGATCACAGACGAGTCCTAGCATTACGAAACAGCTGAATGATATAGGATCACAGACGAGTCCTAGCAGTACGAAACAGCTGTCTGATATAGGATCACAGACGAGTCCTAGCAGTACGAAACAGCTGTCTGATATAGGATCACAGACGAGTCCTAGCAGTACGAAACAGCTGAATGATATAGGATCACAGACGAGTCCTAGCAGTACGAAACAGCTGTATGATATAGGATCACTGGCGATACCTAGCAAGACAAATCAGCTGTATGATATAGCATTACTGGCGAGATTCTTAGCAGGACGAAACAGCTGTCTGATATATGATCACTGGCAAGTCCTAGCAGGACCAAACATCCGTATGATGTAGCATCACTGGCGAGATTCTTAGCAGGACGAAACAGCTATATGATGAAGCATCACTGGCGAGACTCGTAGCAAGACGAAACAGCTGTAGGATGTAGCATTACTGGCGAGATTCTTAGCAGGACGAAACAGCTCTATGACGTAGCATCACTAGTGAGATTCTTAGCAGGACGAAACAGCTGTAATATGTAGTATCACTGGCGAAAGTCCTAGCAGAACCAAACAGCTGTAAGATGTAGCATTCCTGACAAAACTTGAAGGACGAACCAGAAATATAATGTAGCAACACTGATGAGGACTAGAAGGATGAAACAACTGTATGATGTTGCATCACTGACGAGTCCTGGAAGGACCAACCAACTGTATGATGTAGCATCACTGATAAGACTTGAAGGACGAACCAGATATAAAAAGTAGCATCACTAATGAATCCTAGATGGGCGAACCAAATGTATGATGTATCATCACCGACGAGTCCTAGCAAAACGGAACAGCTGTATGATATATCATAAATGACGAGTCCTAGAAGGACGAAGCAGCTGTTTGTAGCAGTTAGTTCATTATGTAACTATCATTTACCCTAAATTTGTATCTAAACGTTCGATATACTTGTTATCTTTGTACTGCATTTATTCTATTTGAAAGGCACGACAAAAAATTTAAATTTTAAGATAGCAAACTCCATGATACATCAACTCTTTGATTAGACAATATCGATATATAAAGATTTATAAACTGTAATTTTTTATAAAGTTTATAATTTTGTTAATTTATACGAATATGATACAGTGACTATTAACAGAAAAAATAAGAGATAACACTCCATCTATTTCAGAAAGCTTCGCGAACATACGCTTCCTAACAATCAATACTCCATCAACACCACATAAGGAGAGATACTTCAAAAATGAAACAAGAAGAGGAAAAACAAAGAATCGAAACGAAATAAATAAGAAAATTAAATCAAAACGAAAACGTGAAAAGATAAACATTCCTCTACACAAGTATACACGAATCCATACAAAGAGGCGCAACTCTGTCTGTAAACATCGTTCAATTTAGGATTGAATCCTGTTATGATGAGGTTTATGCGGGAATGAACCTCAATAGGTCTTGGGACAAATTTTATGAATTGTATGTCGCGGAGAGGTCCAAAATTCCCAAAGTTTGACGTTTTTGCTAAGCAGACAACACTGGATGAATAACACCAAAACGAGATTTTTTTTCCGATCAGTGTTTTTTATTATTATTATGACAGATTTGTTTTGAAATATTACATACATTTTTTTCAATAATTAAAGATTATTTTACTGTAATATTTTAATCGAAATCACATCTGTATGAGAAGTGAAGAAATGCAAGGGAGGCAACTTCAGCTTTAGAATGGAAAATGTGTTCATACGCCATCTTCAGAGTACATTGAAAAATGACTTTAGTAGGTTCATAAAGTCCAAGTTTAGTGGAAATATAAATATTTATTATAGACTTTATAGACGCGATATATGGATAATAAATTCATGAAGTTATGTGCTTGGTGATATTATCAGGTTTATTTAAGGGCGCTCTACCCTTTTACAATCTACTTTCAAACTCTTTTGAGATCTTACACAATGATTTCATTTGCATGTGAAGACTACTTCCTGAAAATCTAAGATTTGAAATGAGTTTTTACATTACAACTGATACTTTACCACACGTTTATAACTATCACGTCCACTGGTCTCATTGGTTTTGCAATAGGAATAATCATGACAACTATTGCTTTTCTGAACACCATATACAAAAGGCAAAATGTTTTCCCTCTCGTCTCTTATCGCCATTGTTGACATTGCGATATATGTTTTATCCTCGATGCACAGAAGAGTTCCCATTCGTGCAGCATCAAATCAAGACCTCTTTGTCCATATCCCGGTAAATTACATCACTACGATACCAGGTATCATTACCTATGTATTACAGAGGAAATTACTGTTAATATTCTTAAGAAGGAATAAACCAATATGTGTCTAGTCGTCCAAAAGATATGTTTTGAACTGCCACTTTATGTATTTTGACTTTTAAACTAAAGTTGATCATAACGTCTCTAAACATAAGCAATTGGGGTTTTATTGATGAAATTGCAAAATCATCGATTACTCATGTGCTAAAAATGTCCACAGAGAATTTATATAAAAAAAAGTAAACCGAAAAAATCATGAACTATATTCGGTAACAATGATTTATCGCCTTATCGGGATAAATGACAATAGCATAAGCTAATGATTTAGTTCTAAGAAGAATTATTTATAAAAAAGGAAACCTTAAGCAGAAAAGGTCTATTTTCATTCGATAAAACCTTTCTAATTTCATCTATAATAAATACTGAAATAAAAAAAAAATAACATATATGATTACGTGTTTACACAATACAAAAATTAATTTACAATGGAGATGTCTGTCGCTTATGGTTTTTAGCTATACCGCATTCTACGACAGAGAATGTTCTAAAACAAGGAAACGTGTGGGACCTTTGACCATAACATGACCACACATAATATACTGTCATGTTTTCTAGCAAAACAAATAATAAATAGAGTCTATTGAATTGGTTATACGCTTACTGATCACTTGGGTTTGTGGCTCATTTGGATGCATAAGCCTGTATGAAGATCACGGTAAGTGATGTACCCTTCTAAATGTTAAAACTCAATATGCCCTGAATGTGTTTTCTTAAAACTGCTGTATATCAGCCTTTGGATTGAGGTTTTCCAATTTAAAAGCATATCTTATACTTACGGTCAGTCTAGATTTAAATCTCGTTTATCTTATTTGCGAACAATGAGTATGATGTGTTGGTAGCTTGTTCAACTAGATAATAGGGTAATCAAATATCTTTAAGACTAAAAATAAATATTAAGGTAGATATGACGTGTAGATAATTTCATCGTTGTTTAATCAAATTGTGCCGATCCATAAAAATCATAAAACATTCATGTCATGATAATACATTACTCATTGTATTAAATTTATAATCTCCCTAAACTGATTTTCATTCATTTTCCAATTTGAGCTTTTACAATATCAGACTGAAATAATGCTTGTAAATGTCTACTTCTTTTATGCCGTCAGCAAAAGCTTTCTCATATGTTCATTTTATTTAATTGTTATAACTCGCAGTATATTTCTTTTACATATGTATTGTAGATGACACGGCCTTTGATCTTTGTTCCGGCCTTACTGTTGGTGTTTTTAGTCATTAACATCCCAGAACCGATTAATGGATTAGTGGAGCCTATCGTTATGCCTGATATTCTCAAAGATTGCTATCAATATCGAACCCAAGTCCTCAACGTCACTGACATGCCAGCACATGAGATCAGTGCTTTTTGTATCACAAACTTTTTGTACAAAACCTACCACCTGCGACCTCAAAGACCAATAGCAAACGAGACAATTCAATATGCTCAGGAACTCTTCCGTCAAGTATTCGGGGAGGCTCAAAAACGTCGCAGAGTTAAAAGACAGTTTATCCAGAGGGTTCGACAAGAAGTACGCGTGATGTCAAGACAGCTCTGGAACACATTTGTGACGAGAGTTAACATGCTGAAGAATCAGTTTGTGAGTTTCTTGAGAATGCAGACTCATTGTAGTATCACATGACCAAACAATGAGAACATCGAAATTATATTTGAACAAACATATTCACACTTTGAGTTATTTTGTGTATTTTTAATACTACGATCATAATTACTCTAATTAATTATATATAATACTTCAAATCATACGCGCATTAAGTATTTCAGCTATTGCACTCATTAATAAATTCTTATATTTACATTTGATACGGATTTTCATTGAATATTTAAACGATTCTCCTTAAACATAATTTCGGAACAGCAGCAACCTCATTTGAAGAACCATATTGTACCGGAACGTCTGCGTCACTATGTCATTGACAACGCCCACAATAACAAAATTGTCGAAAGAGTAAATTGTCGAATCAGTATTTTCGTTCAATGTTTAATTATCAAGTAAATCGTAAAATATTAAAACAACGTATTCTATGTATCTTCATACTCTCCAATCGTGGCGCATGAACAGTAAAAAGAAGTGACAAGTCCGTGTATAATTAAGGAAGCCTAATCGCCAAGCATAATGTCGATGCAAAGCACGTGTATAAATGCATCAATTTAAAGAGAGTAAAGAACACTTGACAAAATTTATCATTACCAACAGCATTTTTACAAAACTGGTTAAGAAGACCTTTTACGAATATATATGTATAAATACTTTTCTCGGTGTATTCTCAATGATAATGTACATTTTAAATTGAATAAATGGCAAAAAGAGTAAAGACCAGAGACAAAATATTATGCAAAATTTAAAAATAAAAAATGTGTGGAATTTCTCTGAGCTATAATCCATCTTTGAACACTTTCGATATGAATGCAATATCCAGTTTCCAGCTCATTATATAACGCTCATTTTGTTTTATGGTTCTCAGGTTGGACGGAATATAAGTCGATACGATGCCTTCGCAGATATTCATCGATTGGTAATAGACTCGGCACACGGCGGACCAAATTTTCTTGGATGGCATGCTGTGTATTTGATATTGTAAGTAAACTTTGTTTTGTCAGACATTATTATATGTTCATCCAGCATCAAAAGGAATGGTTCACGGAGTGATGAATCCAGCCAATAATATACACTTAGGATACCGTAATAGTGCCACCGTTATCACGAAGCCTTCTACAGTAGAACTACAACAATTTACTGCAGAACATAATATTATATCACTTTAGCTTGTAAACACTACTTGTGGACTTTCTTTCCTTAAGTTTACCATTACCTACATTACACCTTATCAATTCGAATAAATTATTTATGGAATTATGAAGATTTTTTTATAATTTATGATTTATATGATAACAATATCATATACTTCAAATGTTATTTTCGTAGTTCAAATATTCAGAATATTACCAAAAGGTTTATGCACAAAAGGAAGCAATGGACAATTTCTGCAAATTAGCTATTTTGCGACATAATTGCATCTTCGAAAATGGAATGTTTGGCAATTCAAATTGAACCACATGACTGATTTACTTCATAGATATGTAAAGTACAAAGTATGTCATGTGTTCAGTACAGCAGAACTGTGCGTACTATCAACCCAATCAGTTATTAAAAGATGATAAACGAATGTTTTGTGTTGCAGATTTGAGCAAGCTATTGGAATTCCTGTACCGTATTGGGATAGCCGACTTGATTTTTACATGGAACAACCTACAGATTCAATATTATGGACCCCCGAATTTTTCGGAGAGGGGTTTGGTGCCGTGACCAATGGTCCCTTTGCCAACTGGTATACCCCGGATAACGTACCGCTTACCCGTAATATTGGAAATGCTGGAACTCTTATAAGCGACGCTAATGTCCAATCTGTCTTAACTCGTACACGTCACAGAGAGATTGTTGAACCTAATCCAAACCCGCAATTTAGCTTGGAGATCCATCATAACGGTCCCCATGTTTGGGTTGATGGCCAACTATCGGCAGCGGCAACAGCGGCACAGGACCCGGTGTTCTTTTTGCATCACTCGTTCGTTAACTACTTCTGGGTATTATTCCGAAGAAGACAAAGGTCTATTGGTATTGATCCTGCAACTGATTATCCTCCAACAAATAATCCACTTCAACAGCCTTTTAATCGCATGATTCCCTTCCAACTCAGAAACATTGATGGATACAGCAATCAGATAGAAGCTTTATCAACATACCAACCACCTCCTACCTGTCCTAGTTGCGGTGGAAGCTCTTACTTAGAATGCTTCAATAACAGATGTCGTTCTCGCGTTGGTCTTGTTCAAAGTGGCCCTGCTGCAGCTGGTTTTGCTGGTATGGGTGGTATGGGAGGGGCAGCAGCATTTACTTCACCAACGGCTGGTGGACAGGCCAGAGCAATGCAAACTGTGGCGCAGACCGGGCCCTTACCAATTGGAAATCGATTTAATACGCCTTTCCGAGACCCTAGAACTAGAGGAGACACCATTCCTAATGCTCCTGTAAGGGATAGGGTGAGACGAAGTACATCAACAAATACTACATCAGCCAGAGCATCATCATCCAACTTCGACACTTCTCAAATAAACAAACCGTACCAAAATACATTTCTTCTGAATGGTGTAAGTGATGTGAATCGCTGGTCGTTTATACCTGTAAGAATAATTTTTGAAAGAACCCCGAAATCAAAGTTCCAATCGTTTATCATTAAAGATGGTCATTTGATAGAGGCCAGCGACATGTTCGAGGCACAAAAATATCAAGGACTGAAAGTTGAAATAAAAAAGAAGTTGCCAGCAACCTACAGCAAATGCCATGTTTCCGGTTCCGGTGCATCCAAGGTTTACGTTCAGACTGATGGTATTGACTATTCTGGAAGGTATAAGGACTATGCAGTGGTGGATGAGAGATTACCGATCTCATCATCTATGACCTATATTGGGGTTAAAAATCCCACTGACGGTGCAGCTCAGTTTTATATGACCGCTTATGACTCGTGTGGACGTGTCTGTAGACCGCAATGTCTCACTAACGGAAATTACCGACCATGCTCCGGAACCTTCCGAATAACTTCGACGTATCCGAGAATGTACGGACTCTCTTATGAAGACGCAGTAAAGGGAATTTGGAAGAAAGGAAATAATCTCATGCCTGAGAGCAATGCTGGCGAAGTTCCAATCACTTTCTTTTGTGACGCATACATGAAATGGCCGTGGGTTTTTGAATAAGATAAGCGAAACATTAAGTCTAAAATATAGACTAAAACTGAAATTTTACCAGAATATTAACCTACAAATATTAAAATTTCATTGGCTGTAATGAAGAGTTAATTTCAGTACATTGTTAAAGAAAGTGATAGGGTTGAAGTGCACTAGCGTTAGATATTATGTATTTAAAATATTCTTTATTTAGGTTCAGTTAAAACAATATCACCTGTGAGTTGAGCAATTTGCATAAAAAACACCTTAAATGGACATTCTATATTGATGATTATTCAAAAGTGCGAAAGACAAAACTGTTGGCAATTTATGATTTTTCCTACCCTAAGTAAGAAACATATTTTTCTTTAATTATATGTGAATTAAGAACTTCATTGTGTTATTCGGGCTAGTGCAAACTCTCACTTAATTTTTTAAAAAAAAATTCAATTGTCCTCTGTCATCTCCTAAGCTTCAAACTTTAGGCCAAAACGCATCACTGACGAGTCTTTGAATGCCAAAATAGCTGTATGATGCAGTTTAATTCATTAATTGCCTCTACTGTATCTAACCCTGAACTTGCATGAAGAAATGCAATTTACTTTTGTATCTACAGTACAATTACCATTAAGAATTATTTCATAAATAAGCATTATTTTGATTTTGGCATTAGGTCCGTAATCTTCAACCACAGGATCGTTATAATTCTGTATCTCAACGAAATAAATATTATTACTAATTAAGAGCTTTGTTATGCATCACGTGACATTGATTACTGGTTAAGTACTAGTTTTATATAACATTTTATACCATGTCTGTCTCACAGTTCTTTCGAGTACCAAAGTGTCATAATAAAATGGATTATATTTTATCAACACCATAATTCACACCAGGAACTGGATTCAGTTTTCCGACGGGCTGGCACCAAATTATTAGTCAGTTTACAATTTATTTTCAATTTTGAATTTCATCGATGAAACAAGAAAATACTAACAAGTGAATGTAATCGTAATCTAAACTCAAAATTCGATGAAACAGGGGCATAATATGAACAAAATAAACATTTACATGGGGACTCCTGATAAAGCTGAAATAAGACCAGGTGATCTGGATAAGTAAGCGTCGTTTGCTTTATCGACGACTCCCGCCATCTAAACCTTGGTCAATCCAAGTAAGCAATGTCATGTCCTCAAATAAGAGCTAGGTATACAACAATGAACCTACAGACAAACTAACGAGCATCAAATACGTCCAACTTCATATCGCAGAAATATATTTTTTCTCAAATTTTATGTTATACACTAACACAAAATCCTGGTTACAATTGTTTTCTGTATCAGTTAAAATCCATATCATGTTTACACTTTTCATTATGGATTCTCATAGCTTTCTGGAGTACTTGCTCCTAAAAGTCGAAAACCCCCATAATACATGGTAATATTTGGTGTTAACATGGTCTTAATCAAAACTCAAATCCGATGAAACCAGGAATAAAAATCATTACGGTATGCGGAAATACCTGAGAAAAGTACATAGTGAATAAGTGTTATGGAAATATACATACCAAGTGTAGATTTAGTAATATCCAAAACTTTTAGTTACGAAAGTCTTTGAATTGTTCAAAATATCCCGAATTCCCTTCTATTGATTGGAATGTGAATGAAATGAGGAAGTGTAAACGAGGCAGTCTGCGTTACATTCATAATCAGATCAGGTTAAATCCATTCGGTCTGAATTCTCAAAAGAATAAGCAGCTTGAAATTGCAATGGCCGTCTGCTCGTCTGGATGACAAAAGGGATAACACTCGATATGCAATAACTATGATAGCCTAGTAAATGACAACAAGTACGATTCAGTGTGTTTATTCAAACAAACATTTAAACATAATTTCTGTGACTATAACACTATCTACATAACTGATACATTTCCCCCAACATTCCTATTTATTTGCCTGCATTGTTCATTGTCCTTTGTCCTTCATTAGTTTTTTTCCCGCAGAGGATATTAATCATTGAAGGCTGGGTCAATGTGTCAGAGATGTACACAAACTCATTTCTACAATATTCAAACGATTCATTATGACATCATTTTGTGAGACCAAATGCACCATATAATGCTGTAACATATAGACTGGATACATGTTTATTATTGATTTCTAGAACAACTATAGAATAGCTATATACACATTTCTTAAAACTTTTATTTTAAGTCACCTGGACTACAAATTCTTTGCTCTCTTTTACATTGAAAATGTTGATTTTTCTTCATCATTTTTATTTATTTGCTTTGGTAGCTTGAGTAACTTATTCTTCTTTGTTCACTTCCCTTGTGCAGTTTTATGCTTCATCTGAAAATCGTTAATTCCTTCATGTTTGATTTGATTCGCTCCTGGTTTGAATGTTTTAATTAACAGCGGATTGACTTTTGTTCGAACATCTGTCAGTATCGACTTGAACTGTGCACCAACATTTTGATTCCTAATTTTTTGTTTATAGTCCAGAACATTTTGAGTACCTCCGCGAGGACGCGGTACTGGATAAAACCCTCTTCTTAACCTCGAACGAAGAGGACCAGTCGGGAGAGGATCGCCTCTTGTTCGTGGATCCGTGAATGGCGATGTAAATCTTTGTCCGATAGGAAGTGGTCCAATCGCTGCAATGGCGGCTCTTGCTCGCTGTGGACCAGTTAACCTATTTCTCATAACCAGTCTTGAAGATCGTAAACGATTGAAAAAATCATAAATGGCATCCCAATTCAACACGTTATTTGTGTTGCGTTTTACTCTGTGGTTTTTAGTTCCAATATGAAATGTAGTTTCGTGTGTTTTTGTTGTTTTTTTCGTTGGAAGCAAAACATTGTCCTTTACTTGGCATTTGGCTTCTTTACATACATTTTCAATGTTTGTATCACATGATTTACACGGTAGGGAATGATCATACATATCTCGATGGTTATATAACACGTTCTTCTCAAATATGTCGAGATCGAGATCATTTTGTCCTTCGTAGTCATCTCTAGGATCTATGGAATTTACTTCAAGCTGCTTCCAGAAACTTTCCCAAACGTAGTCGATAAAAGCATCAATCATGATAACGACAGGGTCAAGCGTAAATCTGTCAGCAGAAGTGGATAATCCCTTCACCCACAGTTTCGTCCCGGTGCTTAAGAACTCCAAGCTGTTCTGAGGAAATTTGTTTGGCTCTAGAATATCATAATGATTTTGAAGTGACATAATGTGGTCGAAATGTTCTTGGCTGAAGAGAGTTCCAATCTTTCCAATTTCCCTCGATAACGGTAAACCGTTTCTAGACATCCAGTTTGAAAATTGTCCAGTAACAACTGTCCCTAACCCATCTCCGAAATATTCCGGTGTCCAGATGATAGACGTTTTAGGGTCGGACATATTTTGGTCTATTCGGATATCCCAGTATGGAAGGTGTCTTTCCAAAGCTTCTTCAACTCTGAAAATTTAACATGAGGAAAAAGAATGAAATCAACGAGAATAAATCCGCACAAAATCGTGATTTTACAGTATTAGACAAAAAAATATAAAAACATTGTAATATTCATCTTGAATTGTAACATTACAGATTTGTTTATACTACCTTACTTCATCACCAGGCGAGTAATAAATTTCATCATATCTCGGTATTGAGAAGAATTTTGAAATTTGAATGAATTTAAACGTTTTTGGCCCTGCCCGTCAGTACCTGGAATCAGTCATTATGAGTATGCCTTCTATGTGTCGTCTCGTATTAATAGTTCTCACTACGTCTAATTAATTTTCAATAAAACAAACAGGTAGCAAATAATACTGAAAAGTGTATTTTCCCCATACTTACTATAGTAAGCATTACCTTAACCTTATGAAAATGTTCAATCTGGGAGTCATGAAATTGACAATTGACAAGAGTATTTGGTTCTTTCATACTTGAGTATTGTGTTTTTCAAATTAAAAAATGACCCCTTTCCGTCCCTGCCCCTTAGGCCCCAGGGTTGGGGGTGGAAAGTATATAGTATACAATTTTGGTTCACCTCTGGTCATAAAAAGTTTTTAAAAATTTCACTGAAATCTGATAAAGGTTTTCCAAAAGAAGTCGCACAATGTAAAAAGATTACGGACGCACGATAAAAGGTTAACCATAGGACTTTGTCTGAGGAAACCTAAAAAAGTATCAATTGTTTTACTTACAATAGAAGAAAAGTTCGGTGCTGTATAAGAAATGCTGGACTGTCATTCGCTAATGATATATACAACTCTGTAAGGGCGTCATAACGACTCATGTTTGGTGTAATCTACAACAAAAAACACAAAGGAATATTGTGACATTTGGACAATTGCCAATACGGTTTGACATGCCATATCGTTAACATAACATGTTGTCATTTAGTGATGATCCATAGAAATATATGGAAAACTGGAAATCTTGCTTGAAAGAAAGCGAAGCTTTGTAAATAATGAATATCTAATTACAAAGACAATTTCCGGTTTCCCGAATACTTATAGAAAAGCAGTTACGGCTGTTGTAATCGACATTTAGACGCGTGATTTTTCTCCCTCTACAATGTTACTTAATTTCGTGTTTGTAAAAATAAGTAATTAAGATATTCATTTTTTGAAGATAACAAAACATATATGATCAAGGAATTTTCAACTGCATGTGACAATAATGTATTTATAGTTCAAATGCAATCTAATAAACAACATCTTGTTGATTAAAATATTATGACTCCTTTCAAAGGAAGATCATTTACCAACAATGGGGTCATGTTGCATTTTAAACATTTGATTTTGTCCTGTAAAATTGTAATCCATTATCACGTCATAGTTAATTGAGTAGAATCATCAGTCGTCCCTAAGCCATGTGTTGTCAATCGTGTTTTATCTATAAACGTCATATTACTTTATACCGCTCAATCAGTTAGTCTGACGTCATGATCTGTAAAGCAAAAAGGTAATGAAGCGGAGTCCTTACGTATTTTAGAGAACGTTTATTTGGAAGATCAACCGAAATAGGCCGTCCCTGTTTCGATGAAAAGCACGATAAATAAGATATCTATTTTATATACCATTATGAATTTGAAGAAAAAACTGGCATTGTCCATAAAATCGTTGTTCAAACCCAAAACTCGATGAAACTGGGACAAAATATGAACAAAAGAAAAAAATTGAACATGGAGTCCAAAAAAAATAGAAGTGAAATAAAACCACGTGTTACGGAAGGGTAAGCGTCTTTTGCTTCATTAATGACACTCATGTTGTAAATCTTGTCAATCCAAACAGGGTATACTAATGAATATCTATCAAATCAAACTCCATATATAAGGAAACATCTAGTTTTTTCTCCGCCTCAGTGAAGTCAATACTTTCCGATCAGTTTAATTCCTGTTGCGTGCTTTCGTTCTTGGCACGCAGATAATTATTCGAATAGTAGTTCGGTTCAGAATACACACATGTACTTGACGCTGTTCTAAAATTGTCTGATATATGAAAATTCACTTGTATGTTTTTTTGTACAATCTTACTTTGCTAACACGAAAATTTTACATCACAGTGAAAAATAACAGTATACTGCAAACGGTTCAAAAACACAATGATCTAAGAAAACACTGACATTGTTGAAAGCATCATCACAATTACCTCACGCTATAAATTCTCATAAATTAATGTAAGCTTTATAAAATGTTTTGTCTGTCGGATTTCGTCACTACGTTGTAAATGATGTTCGCCTTTGGTTCGCCTATGACATCTCTTCAAAGTAACGAACGTTTTCATTTGACAAACATCAGATATTAACAAAAAAACCGTAATATGTGTCTCTTAGCTAGCAGTCTGACCTTGAAACCTTTGCCGTAACTGCTTCTTCTGGTCCGGTAACTCGTGTAACTAAATTGAAACCGTCCAAGACACTATCCCCGTTAACTTTCATCATAACATGTTGGTCATGTCAGCATGATCATGTCAATATAATACGCAAATTCCGCTTATATCGACATGTTTTCAACTTCAAAATGGTGCGTGTGACTCGACTGAGGCAAGACAAAATCACAATGGTGTTACTGCTGTCCGATACAACCCGTACTAAATAATACTTTTGAAAGTTGTTCATTATAAATATTTCATTTCTTATCCTTTGAATGTGAAAGTGAAGTTTAAAATGACTCATGTTTGCATATCTTTATTATAAATCGAGCTATATTTGTACTTCCTAGAACGAACAAATCTACCTAGTCACTGTTCTGTATATGTGTCCAACATGATAACTGGAACAGTCTTAAAAAGTGACAGTGACACTATATTGTACTGCGGGTCAATTGAATAAGGATCGATTGTACATTTTATCGCTTGCACGCACTGATAAAGGGAAGTAATCTCGATCAATAGGTAATTCATTTTCACGAGGCTCACTTCCGTCCATCAATCTATGTAAATACATGAAACAAAATAGACAATCGGTTTTTAAATACTAACACTTTCCTATAATCTCTCCGAATTTTGGTTTTAAGTTCTTTTTTTAAGTACAGATGTTTCCTATATGCAAAAAATCCTATACCAGAAACTATTTCATACAAATCAATTTATATATCGCGAGATAACGAATTACGTCAGCAGTGAACAGGCGTAAGCTTTCACTATTTAATGTACATATGTCACCACTGTTAAAAAGTGACATTGATAAATTATATTAAAGATAAAAAAAATAAACAGCTGAAAAGACTTGAAATCTTATCAAAAAAGAAGGAAGCATTTAAAACTAAATATCATATAACTTTTGTATTTGATTTATCAAACGTTTTAACCTTTGACTGTTATCGATATGTCTTTTGGCCGTACATCGTGTGTGGTATTACAACTACTATTTTTTAATGAATATGCATATAACCATGTTTTAGGTATTAACATATTCATAATATCAAAAGATTTAGCTTGAAATTGTATTTCTTAGCAACTAGACAAAACTTTGTATCATCAATTTGAAAACATTTTCCAAAAAACGGAACACGTCCATTTATTTGGATAAAAGGAAAAATACAAAACACACAGAATCCATAACAAACAGATAAATTAAGGATATTGGATTAAAGCTGTTATTTTACATACGTTAGATCAGTACTATGCATTTCTGTCTTTTTCTACTTTGAAGAAAAGTACTTTTTCACAAGCGAAACGCTTGAAGGCAATTATCTACTACATATGAATGTTAGCCGAGATATATATACCATTTTTCTATCACCCTTAATCGGTATAGAAGTACCAATCTTCATGTTACCTATCTAAAAATATGTTTTTATCAATATGATGAGTTTGCTGGTTTATGTCTAAAAATAAATAAATTATAAATAACATCTGTGTGGCATTACTTTCTCGGTTTAACCAAGACTTTTATGGCATTTGTTAAAGACGAAGCAGAAGACGGTTACTTTTCCGGAACACGTGGTCTTATTCTCTTAAATTAAATTTGAGTTGTGATAATAATCAGTTGACATATTTTTTTTTTTTTTTTTTTTTTTTACTTTGTGACGAAAAATAAATATATCAATTTAACTAACTCCTCCATTACCCCGCCTTTTGTATATTCTACCGCGTCATGACGGTAAGGTAAGACATTTACTACATGGCTGAATGATGAAACGTATCAGGAATGGTTAGGGTTCATAGACCGGTTAAAACTACGTTAAGAGTCATCATATCGTCCGATTGTTTTTCACAAACGATATGCCTTGTGGATCATTACTTCTGACGGGATCTTAAGTCTGTATAATTATGAATCTTAACAAAACGATGAGAAGGACGGTACTTTATGTACAACACTACAGTATATTGTGTTCTTTGGTAAAAAATAAAAAGGAAAAGAAAAGAGAATACCCACCATACTTGTTCTCAAGAAATTAAGTCTTAATGCAAAATCGTTCCATTTGGTCTTTGTAAGCATCCTTACTTCCCGTCGTTTTAATGGACGAAGGCTATTACTTCCGGTGTTGCGCTGTAACATCTTCCGGTATAATTCAAGAATGTACAAAGTAACAGGCGTAGAAAAGTCATATTTTTGTGTTCTCCTTTGGATCGTTTTCATAGCTTGTGATACACAAAAATTGGTGACGTCATCGATGGTTATATCCGTAAAGGCAAGGTTCTTATCTCGAAACCGAACACACTGATCTGTAAGACGGTTGAGATCATTCTGCTTGTCATGCATCGCAGCGGAGATGTTGAAAGAACATGAAAATGCTAGAGCAAAAACCACGCACAGCATGCAGAAATCCTGTAAAAAATCATAAAATAAGCAAAACAATGGGAGACCATCACATTTCAAAACATTGCGCTTTTAATTTATTTGTACGTAATCGTTGTTCTGGTGTAAATTCAACCTTAAAACAATTCGTGAAATCCATCAAAACCTTTCCGCATCATATAATCAGAAGCGTATATAACGGTATCAAAATTAGGCAAACAAAAGAGCACAAAGTCTGGATTTCCAGTTTCTGTATGAAAAAATTAGGGTCAGTTGGTAGGGATGGTTTTGCTTGCATTTGAAACTGAAACAACTGGAAAAATATAACAATGATGTTATCATATTCAGAAAAGATAAATGAAGTTAGCAAAGAAATATAGGAATGACCTAAGTAGCTTTGTTAAGCTCTCTCTAATCAACACTGTCAAGGGAGGTAACCCTTACTGATAAATCGTACCGAGTAGTCACAGCTAATTGTAAAGTTTCAGTGAAGTTGATAAAGCACCGATATTATCATTAAAAATACGTTATTATCGTCCAAACAAAAGATCACTGATTAAGTTATAATCCAATAAAAAAAAGTGTCTCCGAAAATTGATATATACATTACTTCGCAAATGTCAAATCATTCTTTATTTTTTCTTTTTAGTTACGACGGACGTCAGTCTGTCCAATCCGTCTTTAGGTTATTCGACGAGCTTTATCTGGTGTAGTATATTCTATTATGATCTTAACATAATTTGTCTTGTTCATTATTTCGGGATTCTCGTCAAAAATACAAATTATATTGATTTGTTTTATATATGTTTACATATATAATCAGCTAATCTTGTGAGGTTTGACTTACAAGAACGACATGTATATTAGACACAACATGTAAAGCAATCAAATACATATGCTGGTACTGGAACACTTTAAGAAGCGGTATCTTTATAAAACACGGGTCATCGAACATCTAGTGATATCAGTATGAGATTCACAAATAGCCAAGAAAACCGTTAACTATTTTCCTAGATACCTGTATACAGTTAAGTTTAAATCGCGTCTTGGTGGAGATCCAATAGAAAACATTTAGTAAACAAATAAGTGATCAAAATTTTAAAACAGAATACATTTAAAAATATCTTTGATCTCTTATTAGCAATATATTTCTTGAAAAATTGAAAATTAATTATAAAGGCATTTGTATACTTCATTAATCTTAAATGTTATCCCGATTTTGGACGTGGTTAAAACTTTTCCATTTAAACATCCATAAACATTTGTACATATAACAGGTGTTCTTGTTGACATAAGTTAATATTATGGTATTTTTTAAGAAAAAAAAAAAGAAAAACGCAAAATTTTATAGGTGCCTTATTGATCGTACAACGATGAAAACTTGCAAGACAAAAATCATTGAAAGAGAAATAGTTTGAAATAAGATGTGTTGGAATTATTATTTACAACAAATGTATTTCACATAACCATACAATAATGCATTATTTAAGATGTGATATGGCAAACTACCGTTTGATAATACACGTCTGACAGGGCGGGTCTATTTTTAGGAAATAATCAATATTTTAAAGATATCTACATCAATGTTTCATATGTCAACATCAATCAAAAAGAACATTTGCACCTGTTCTGAAAACGATAAGTACATAACCTTTCAATATGATTTCTATCGTAATATAAAGGTGAAAATAGAAGAACGTACCATTGCTAACACCAGGCGATGACTGAAAGCGTTGTTATCCAAGCTGCTGAAAGATAAACAATAAACAGAATATGTTTGTTTATGTTTCGTTTTTATATATACCTTACAACCTGTAATAAAATAAACACCAGGACATCAACAATCAAGCTTGACGCATGATTGTTAGAAAAATGGACGATGTGATTTAGTTAAACTTTTACCTGTCACGGAGGTAGGACCACGTTTCGCTCGACTTTCTGGACGAATTCGTGATTGATTGACGACATACGATCCCGAGTAATATTCAGACACCTAGATAGATGGTTTATGGTATAACTTGATAACGTATATATGAACTCAGAACAGTCAATAGTAGTCAAAACAATAAATATTGTATCGAAAGAAATAATATGCATGTACATTCTAATAATTTATAATGATAATTGTTGGTGTTTTTTCCCTGTTAAACATGGACTTTGTAGAACCTGGGGAGATATATCTTTACGCATCTATAGACAAAACAATTATGTATTAACTTATTATTTACAATTAAACTCAACCTTTTCCACTAAATTAACAGGGACAGTCTTTTTGCAAGCTGTATGTTAAGATTAATGATGACGTTACGACAACAAGACACGGACTTTGATTGCTTGCTTAGGAGGAAAAACAAAAATACGCGGTAATGAAAACAGCTGTCTTCATTTTTGCCAAAAATATTAAAGTGAGATGAGTAATATTAACTTTGTTTATCTTCTTTATAGGCATATTTCGTACTTCGTCTGAAGTATAAAAGGAAAACTTTTTGTGTTAAGTGAAATAGACTTTGTTAACGTGACTAAATATGTCTATAGTGCTGTATACTTGTTACAAACTGTGTTCATAGTAGAGTAAAATCATATTAGCTCGGCTAAAAGTTTGTGTCTGTAGTTAAGAAGAACCTCGTTAGTATGGTTATAAGCTGGGACTTTAGTAGAGTAGAAACATGTTAATTTGGTTAAATACTTGTCTATTGAAGAAGCTCTTTTGTCTGGTTAAAAGCTCTGTCTATATTAGACCCTCGTTCGTGTGGTTAGAACATTTGTCTATTGTAGAGAAGAACCCCGTCCCAATTAGATAACCCGATGTTCTTCCATGACAATCGTAGAGTGTTGTGTTACAAAGTCAATCATACTCAGTGTTATTACATGAAGGACAGATGAGGTATGAACAGACAATTATCTTCTGTCAATTGTAACTTGTCACCTATTGTTTGTAATGTCTATTCTGCTAAATAATCCCAACTTTGGGGGACAATATGGTATTTTGGTTTTAATTTCCGCAGTTTTCTTCTACCCCTGAAATATAGGCCCTTAACATCACTGACGAGTCCTAGAAGGACAAAACGGCTGTGTTACGTTGTTGAATTCATTATTTACCTCTGTGTATCTAACTCTTAGTTATTTGTATTGAAATGTGTTATTCACATGTTTTCGCTAGATCAATTGAAATGAAATATATTTCGGTACATCATATTGTAAACATTTCTACGTCATCTTACGCCAGTATGTAGTCATCCACTATAAAATCACACCGTGACCCTAGCGACCTCTGAATCGACAGAGGTTTGTAAACAATGAGATAAACAAGTACGGTAGACACATGGAGCCTTACAACCCCGAGGGAAATAGTTTTACAGGAGTTAGCCAGTGTTTCTTCTTCTGTCTACAACATCCAGTGATATGCGCGACAGCAGGTCACACAAGTACATAGCAGTGTTGACATCTCGTCTATGGACATTTAAGACAAGCTGAATGCTAATGAAGTTGCCATCTAGTTATCGTTTAGACCATTCATCCTTATTGTATGGATAAACAGTCTAATGTATGAACTATAAATAAGATTTTAACGGAAAATCCAGGAGAATTGTGTACATTTTTTTCTTGTGTTCTTTCACCAGTATTATTCGAAGACAAAAGAAGTGAGAAACACCCTCACCTCCAGGGGGTCGGTCAAGGTCAGCATGGTGCTTTCTCTTTATGATGAAGACCTTGCTAGCGACCTTGATACACAACCTACCGGATTAAAAGTAGAACACGTACACATTTCCTGTATATTATTAGCTGATGACACCCTATTATATCAGCATCACATGCGTTTTTACAACAAGGGCTGAACATGGTGTATTGGTACTTTAACTTCATGGCGCCTAGATCATAATCTCGCCGAAAGTTCTCATATGATATCCTCCTGAGCACAAGGAGCTGATGACTATGGATTGTCCACAACTTCTCCAATAAAAGTAACAACACAGTGTTTGGGTATGTTCGATATATGAAGCAAGTAGAGAAAATTAAACAAAAAAAAACCCCCAAAAAACTGTTGTTTTGGAACAAATTTTATGACGGAAGTTGTAAGTTCATATGGAAAATGATGTTTATTGAAAGGCTGTATAATAAATTTTGTGAATCTTCCCAAATACAGATGGGTTGTAATCCAGATATTTTCAATGTCAATAAAAAAGTCGATATAAACTCATTTGTAAAAGATTTCATTATCAATAACTTTTTGTCGTCTAAACTTTATTGGTAAAAGTTTGTAAAACGACTTGTATACGATACTTGTGAAAATAAGAGGCAGGAAAATTTACAAACGAAAGCAAATCTCTCTAGATATGCGTGTATTCATTGTAATACTACTCGCAATCCTTTACTAGAAATAAGTATAAAACAGAAGTCGCATAACTTGCTTGGGGATTGATTGAGATCGTGAAATGTTCATTTATATTTGAAAAAGAAACGGTTGTATGTAAATTCTTTGCAAAAGCCACCAAAGACATTGTTAAACACTTTCTTATTCAGTGTCCCAAATTATTTTCAACGCGTGATGTTATATTAGACGGCGTTGTCAATACCGCCAAGGTTGAGACGTATATCTCTTTCTCAAATCTGAGTGATTACGACCACTGTGCCGTTCCCCTCGGAGACCGTACTAAAGTACATTTCTCCTATTCTGAATGGGAGAATGACTGAAAATCTACCAAATATCCTCAAAGAAATGAATACTGCAATGCAATGAACTTTAATGCAAACACCAAAATGCTTCCGGATGTAATTCTCTTTATCTGTTTATAATTTCATCTTTAAGTACCTGCTGTAATATTTTGTTAAACAATATGTAATAACACCTGTGAAATCTCCATCAGGAGGAATTAGATCTGTCTGTCTGTCTGTCTGTCTGTCTGTCTGTCTGTCTCTGAAAACAAGCCGATATAGATATGATTCTATGGGTTGACTGCTGTAGATACACTTGTTTAATACCACTTCTTCTACTGAAGAGTGATAATAACTAATAATTTTGTATTGTTTGTTCAGTACTGGTTTACAGAAACACAAAATTTATCTTTGAATTAATCCATATTTGTTCAAAAGGATTTTCGAAGTTGAACTTTATGACTTATTGAAATCCTTCACAATTAACTCCAAAAACATGTTAAAAAAACATAAGAGTTGCCTCCCTTACACTGATTTTTTTTCTGCATACTATTATTATTTTCCAGATATCAACTATTGCAGTACATTTTACAAACTTTAATTGTTAACGTATTAAACAACTGACGTGCATACTTTGAATGACAGAATAAAAACGTAGAGCTTGCGTTAATATAAATATTATATATATATATATATATATATATATATATATACCCTATTGGAGAAAGTGTGTTGTATATTTGTATATTATACGCCTTCTCCAATAAAGTATTTTAAGACTGATTAAAGCAGCAATCAAGAGGTCAAGATCAGACTGTATTTAATATCTATAATATATACTTCATCTAACCGTGTATAATTTCTCATCGCAAAGTGGGGTATCGTTATTAAAACACTTTTCTGCTGTCATGGTCATAAATATCGTGCAATCTAAATGTGTAGTAACAAAACTGACTAATTCAGTCGAAGTTTGAGAGGAAATAACCCATAACTTTAAACTTTGTTCTCTTTTTCTTACATGTTCATTTGTAAATAATATCTACATAAATGAATAATACAAATACGTAAAAAATGGATTTTACCTATATCAAAAGGAAGCTTAAGTTTCGTTTAACGGTTCACTGAACCACAATGTGAAATAGTTAAAGGAACATTTACAAATGTGTAGTCGGATATTCCAGGCGTGCAAAAATAAACCCGGAAGTTTTGGCAATCTCCAATGTACCTGGAAGAAAATGGCTGCTGGTGTGTTAATCATAGTAGGGTTATGTGTTGGTGTATGTATTGTTGTCCCGATATCATCGGAAGATCCATTATGTGGGATGAAGCTACGAATAACGACTGCTGGTCTAAATTACGGTTAGTGAAATGGACAGTCATAAATTATTACCCTTATCTAGGTTCTTGAAACAAAAACACTTTTTTTTTTTCTGAAATCTAAAACAGAGCAAAAAGTGTTTGTAACATAAACCATTCAAGAACGTTGGCTTTGGATTAAGGTTTTGTTTACAAATCGATATGTTCAAGTAATATTTCTAAATATATTGAAATGATGGTATATGAATTGTTCAGTATATATTTAAAACACTGCATGTCAAATTTAACTTCTTGTTGTCAAGTCTCTAAGAACAAAATGTTGACTTGATTCGAAAGGTATACATCTACTGTGAGACATTTTTTTGCGGACTTGATCATGAAAAGAGAAGTTTAGATAAAATTAAGAATAAACAAAGCGCATACAAAATAACGAAATGTGTTAAAAATCAAGGAGTTAAAAGTACGTGAGGAGTTTAAACATCAATATATTACAAGTTTAAAGCGGTCTGCAAAAATGTCACACAACATTTAGGAAGTGTTAATTCCTCAAATCAAAACGACAACAAAATGACAATTGACATTAAAATTCTCATTGATCTTACAATTCTCATCGATCTTAAAATTCTTATTGATCTTACAATTAACATCGATCTTAAAATTCACATTGATCTTAAAATTAACATTGATCTTAAAATTAACATTGATCTTACAATTAACATCGATCTTACAATTCACATTGATCTTACAATTCACATCGATCTTAAAATTCACATCGATCTTAAAATTCACATTGACATTACGATTCACATCGATCTTACAACTGTATGTATTGAAGGACTCCTACTTGTAATTTCTAGCACGGTTCAGTATGTAAATAAACGGATTCTTAAACGTATTGTCAAGCAAATATATTACAGGTGACGTGTGTTTTTTCTCAACTGTAAGCGTTCTG